CTCTCTCTCTCGCTCTTTGTCGATATGTCTCCCTAAAGATTTAACTGTTATGAATAAATAACGAACATGATATTAAGCACGATATTAAGCTTCCATAATACATTGTCCACTACGACAAAATGATCGATACGCATATTATTGATTCACTGTATAATACATATGTCATACACATCGTTACCGCAGGTAATCATAAATCGCTAGCTGAAAATTCCGAGCATCTAATCGATAATACGTTATGCCACACCGACATTCTAGAAGATAATATGCATGTTTTATAACATTTTCTGTGTAATGTAAATTATATACCGTAAAATATAAATTCTTCTTTAATAATATTTATTAAAGATTAAATAAATTTATTAGAAAATGCAAATATAAATTCGAATTTATCAAATTTTTTTTAGTAGTATACAGATTATTCTTCGAAAATCTAAAAAGCATGCGTTTAATAATTTTAACCAAGATGTTAAGAGTTTCAGTATATTTGTGTGTACGATATATTCATTGATGACTAAACTTCCTTCTATTCATAGAAATCTTTTGCTGAAAAATGTATTCCTGTCTGTTGTCTCTTTTATTTTTCAACATTGCTATATTATGGTGAATGTTTTATTTTATATTAGATATATTGTTTTTTGTATCATTATATGATATTCTGAATATTTTATTATGTGATACCTAACTATAGTATTGGTGTAATTAATAATACAAAGCGTATTAAATCATTTCAAATATTCGACAAAAATTTTGAATTAAATTAAGTAAAATTCAAAACAAAAAATTATTTAAATCCTGGAAATTTAAAATGTTTGAAAATCTTAAATATTTCAAAAATATAATTTTTTTGTTGTAATACTTAATACCGTACAATCTTTCAATCTGTCTTTTATTTTATTCTATGGACACAGATATTTAGATAAGACTATATTTTAAAGAAAAACATAAGATATATATTCTATATACGTAGTATGCATAATAAAACATTTTTTTTAATGTTCAAATATATTTAACATTGATATATGACTATCAAAATTTTTAAAGTTTCTTTCAACTTAAGAATTTCTCGTTTCAAATAATATTTACAATCATTTAAATAATCATGTGATTAAATTATTTGATAAGTTCCAATAAAAAAATTTAAAAAAAATTAATCGTCACTAATTACAATATACTATTATATCATAAAACACTTTTATAAAATTGTACAATATATTGCATTTATTTATTAATCCAAGTCATAGCATTGTCCACAAAATATTTCAAAATTATGCTCCGAGGCTGATTGGTTTCCATCAGTTTCCTCTTGGAAAGACAGTAACTCGGTGATGTGCGGTCACGAGGAACAATGATGTCTTAAGTCAAGATCGCATGGATGACATCGCAGATGTTTGGACGAATGACAGACAGCGAATCGCGACAGGTGCAGAAACGAGATGATTCGATAGTTCTCGCGATATTTTTAGATCATTCCACAGTTAAGACGATATACTTCCCAAAAAAGGGTATTGTAATCGAGATCTTTAACGCTAAATTTTTTTTATTTTGAACTAATTATTTAATATGGACCGTTGAATTCTGTTCTGAATAATTCACGCAACGACGTAATTGCAACATATACATATACATATCTAAATAGAAATATAATTTTAATTATAAATGTATGTAATTGAAAAAACGTCGGAAGAGCTAGAATCACTGAGTGTTCGACTATACGAGTGCGAACAATGAAAGTTACATTGAACAGAGATGAGAAAAAGAAAACATATTATTTTCTCTTTTTATTTGACTTGATTTCGCTACTGTTTTTAGTGGCTAGTCATTTTATTATGTCTACACTAAAACATAAAAACGCGAATATATATAAAAATAAAAATTAAAACAAGCAAAATCACCGATAGTTGATAAAACCGATATTCAATATTTTACCAACCACTGATAATGTATTTCTATAAACATGCGCATTAATACATGTATATTTTATAATATATTTAATATAATTTAATACATATACATAATAAATATTTATAAATAATAAGATACTGAAATAATAAAAGTATTAATTCTTAAAATCTTTATTATTTATTTTTCTTCTATATTGCAAATAACTACATTTTAATTTAAAATCAACAGTGTTACATAAACAGCTATAAATTATTTAAAAAACAGTTATTGTTTTTTAAATAATTTATAAGCTGTATTATTGGATTTATATAAAATTGATTCAAATTATAATCATTTATATCAATAAAATGACTAAATATATTATCTAAAATAAATAGATTTACCTACAAATTTTAAGAAACACATATCTTTGGCAGAATTTAATTTTCTTCTCGTTAGATGTCATTAATGTACATTAAGTAATAATTTAATCGATAAACATTATAGTTGATAATGAAAATAGCTGTACATGATAAAAAATATATTATAATAAAATTAATGTTCAAATATCTTTTCATTATATACATATATTACCTCAGTCCTATTAGGTAATTTTTTTATAAGTTAAAATTTATTATGCAGTACGATTTGATTTTGAATTGATTTAACTAAAGTCTGGTAATAATATATTATATAGATTTCTCAGCCATTTATATATAATAGTTTTTATAGAAAGTGCATATATACTTATTAACGTTGCTTTCATTTAAAAAAAAAAGTAATTTTGCACTGATAACTATTATTATAATCTATGTAATATAGTAAAAACAATTTCAACTAAGCTTAAACTATTCTTTACAACTAAATTAAATGTGTCATTTAGCTTATCACGATTCAATGTGTACCTCAATTATATTGGAATAGGGAACAGGGAACAGAGAATAAGAATTTCAACCTATCAGAAATCATGTATTGTGGAATACACAGTTTCTGATAGGTTAAAACTTCTTATTCTCCGTTCTCTGTTCCCTATTCCTTTCATTGTGCTCAATCCCTTAAAAAGAAGATAACGTTAAAGAAAGAAAAGATTAAGACGAGGAATAGATACTTTAGATATAGAGATGCCCCTCTTCTTTCATTTACTTTACTTGGCGCTGCTTTTAAATCTGTTGTCAACGGGGGCGGTTCAATTGCGCACTGTAGCAGTTGCCCACTGCCAATCACAGCGACTTCTGCGTAGGGAGTTTTGGGTTTTTTTTAGCGCTATGATTGGCTTGTGCGCAATTGGATCGTGGGCAATTGCCATACATTTGTTGTCAACACGGTGCACAGGGGCACGACTACATAATGTAAGCAATTTGGAAGAAATAAGCACAACAGAGAAACCACCAGTGTCGGGGCTGTATAGCTCAGACAAGACGAAAGTCTACCATTTCGGAGGAGACAAGGGGATCGATCTTGAAATGAAGTGAAAATTACAAAAGTGAACGAATTTACTAGAATACTGATCATTTCATTGATCAACACCTAGTAAATTTGCTCACTTTTGTAATTTTGTAATCGACCCTCAGGGCCCCTATTCTTGAAAAGTATCGCATACGAAAAACTAGGAAAATGCTATAATATATGTAACATATACTATAATATTTCCCTAGTTTTTCGTATGCGATACTTTTCCAAGAATAGGGGCCTAGGGGCCTTATTCTTGAAATTATCGCATACAAAAATAGCAATTCCGTATACAATTGATTAATCACAATCGAGAAACTGTCACTTTGTATGCGAAAATTATTCATATGTGCTCAAGAATAGGGTCCCAGGCCTCGGTTCGGAGCGCCCGACGACTTTTGGAAGAAAATAGTTACCCGGATACGGCGGAAAAATGCCATGGGGACATTCCGAGTCGGTATGTGTTGTCAGGCTGGTCGAGTTTATAGGGACTTTGTCCAATATTGCGGTCAGGGTATCGATCATAGGCCTGTTCCTTTTGGCTGAACTTTTGCACCAGTTCATCTTTCTTCCTGGAGAGAAAAGGAAGAAATATGAACTGGTGCAAAAGTTCAGCCAAAAGGAACAGGTCTCATGTAACTTTTGCTCTAGAGCGAAAACGTAAAAAGTGAAAAATTTAATGTATATGTATGCCTGTGTACATATACACATGTCATACAAAAAATTTTTACTTTTCACATTTTCATTCTAGGAAAAAAGATATATAATCGATACCCAGGATATATTATACATCCGGGACGGATGTAATGTCAGGCTAGCCGACTTGTAAGAAATTTAGAGGAAATAGGCACAACAGAGAAGCTATTAGCGTCAGGGCTGTGGCTCAGTGGCAGGACGGAAGTCTACCATTTCGAAGGAGACCCCTTGGCTCGAATTTTGGAGCGCCCTGATATTTTTCTCGTGTTGTCACTTAAATTTCTTACAATAGTTTCTATCCGGACGAGACAAAGGGCATAATTAGGATCGAACTTCACAGATAAGTTCGTTCAATCTATCAATTATTTGTATGCGGGAAACTGAAAAAAATCATTGAAAAAAGAAACAAGAAAAAATCATGCTGTTTTATCTTTTCCTAATTTTAATTTTTAGGAAAAAAAATTAGAATTAGAAATAACCAATGGTAGAATAACTGACGTCATTATCCAAGCCGAATCAGTTTACAAAAAAAATTCGCCATGGTAAAAACGCTGATTGATAGAAATGGACATGCCGCACTACGTAGTACTACACTGAAAGAAAAGATTGGTTGCTGCAACAAATTAGATGGTTAAATATGACATAGCATTTTTTATTGGCTGCAGCAACCAATTTTTGGTTGCGTTAGCCAATCGAAATCCTGTACTGAAATCGCGGATAGGCTAACACAACTAACAATTTGCTGCAGCAACCAAAAATTGGCTATTGCAACCAATTACAAATGCTATCCCATATTTTACCATCTAATTCGTTGCAGCAGCCAATCTTTTCTTTCAGCGTACGGGTTGCTAGCTCGCTAGTTACGCTCCTAAGCGTAGAGTAGTAACTGTCAATGGACGATTACTCGGCCAATCGCAGGCGTGCCGCGAGTGTGACCCGACAACCGACAACGTCGCCCACTGGGTCGCCAACACTGAACTCGACAGTCGTGGCTCGGCTGTTCTTTCGTACTCGGTTAGCGGATTTGTGTCTGACAGTGTGGCCGATCGGACTGCCGTGTGATTGTCACGAGGGCTCATTGGGGGGCCCACAAGAAGACGACCCGTCGACATCGTTTCATATACCGGAATATAAATTTTAATGTAATAAAGCGTATTTAATACCCACGATGACACACTTGATAACGTCGTCAACAACGAGCGTTTCCGGAATAAATGCGACAGCTTTAATCACGACCGAGGCGATTACTACAATGTTACAACAGTGTGCTCGCTTACCACGATAGTACATTACTGCTACAACGGGAAAAGAAGAGAGAAAGAGAAAGTGTGTATGTGTTTGTCGGATTTCTCGTTCTCTCGATGTGGATGCGTCGCATCGTGCACTTTAAACGAGGTACACATACACGCCCGGATTCCAGGAAGCGCTTAGAAGAGGAACATTTCATCGAGCGATGCACGTGTGAAGAAAGAAAGGAAGAGAGAACGCGCTATTGAAAGAACATAAGTGAATTTGTAATTGACCGTACATACGTATTGGCGCGACGTAGAGAAAGCGAGAGAAAGACGACGGACAGACACAGAGAGAGAGAGAGAGAGAGAAAGACACAGAGAGGGTGAGAGAGAGAGAGAAAGAGAAAGAGGGGAAAAAAGAACAGGTTACAAGGCGAGCGGGCGCCATTCGGAAGTAACAGTGTCAAAGCACTGAGGCACCGTTTGCGACTTCTTTAGCGCCGCGCACGGCATCTAGAACGTGCGATGGGACGTGCTAGCGTGCGTGCCGTCGTCAGCGTGCGTCAAGGTGCGTGAAGTGGCGTGAAGTGGCCCCGTGTGGCACGAAAAGTGCGAACGGAGGTCGGAGAGTCCGCAGACGGAGTCGTTTGTCGCTTGGCGCGCGAGCGCTAAACTCGGGGCTCTCAGTCTCGCCTATCGTCTCCGTCCAAGCAACCGAGCCTACGCGGGCGCGCCTTCTCGCTCTCGTGCCTTCGCTTCGTGGCGTGAACGCCGACCGCTGGACTGCTCGATTTTCCGCCTGCTCGCCAGCCAGGAGAGTTTTCACTGCGTCGCGCGCGTATACACTCTGCGTACGTGTGTGCGTGTGCAAAGAGATACATACGCGAGAAACATCAGAGACGGACGCAACCGGCCCATCGTATATACGTGCTGGAGGCGAATCGGATCTGGGGGAGACCGTGGAAAAAAGAATTCACAGATAATGGAGAAACCTGCGTGTATCGTGGACTCGTGATCGGTTGCGAATTTTTCCGTGTTGTATATTTTTACGGGGAAGATAGAGAAGTGGAGAAGGTGGCGGAACGGAAGAAGGAAGAAGAAGAGGAGGAGGAGGCAGAACGAGAGAGAGAGAGAGACAGATTAGGTTAGGTTGAACTCACGTTCCCCCCTCCCATTTCTCCGCTGCGGCACCAGGGCTTCATCTCATTTCGATGTGCATGCCAGTTTCCATTTGACTTGTGTACGCCTAAGGGACGAGGGCATAACGGAGAGAAGACCGAGGAAAGAGTGCGAGGATAGTGCGCGAATGATGGATCTGAGGGAACGTGATAGAAAAATACAAATGCTGATCGCCGATAGAATTTTTGTCACCGAATCGTTCATGGGAATCAATAGCGAATACCTCAAACACAAAGCTGGGATATTACGCTTCATCGACATGTTTCCAGGTTAGCGTGAGATTACACGATTGTTACACACGGCTATCTGGCATTTTGTCGTGCCTTCGTATTCATTCGTGAAATTTGTAGATTGCGAATTCGGTCGGAAGTACTTAGTGCACATTAAAGCTGTTGTACACAAGTCAATGCATAAAGACGTATGCCTAAATCAATCAAGTACGAGAAACGCCAGTTACAATCAAAGTTAGTTGGAATAATACATCTATATGTACTCTCTAAAACTTTTAGAATGAATTGTCACTCCGAAGAGTGAAATCTCACTCTTAAAGGTTGAAAATTGAGTCTTTTTCAAGACTGGTTCAATTTTCACTCCTTAAAGCGAGATTTCACTCTAAAGAAATTTAAAGATATCGTCAAGCTAGTCTACTTTTACGTTAAAAGTCTGTTTCACTAACCTCGGTTAAGTTAATATTTTTAATCGACGATTATATGAGGCTCATTTATGCCTGTTTCTACCAATACAGTTTTTAACTTTAATCTCGGTTCAACTAATTCTTCATCTTTTTCTAGTTTTAAAAATAAGAAAAAGATGAAGAGTAAGTTGAACCGAGATTAAAGTTAATCCACATTGGTAGAAACGGGCATTAGACCCAGTTTCACAACTCATTATTACTCATTATTACTTAAAATAAGTTAAACCTCGGTTACAAGTTAACCTTGAATTATGAAACTGGGTCTAAGACCCGGTTTTTTATTATCTGGTTAACTTGTGATTAGGTTTAACCTGATGTTTTATCCAATGGGCTTCATCTATGATGATATCATGGACGAAGCCCATTGGGTGAAACAAGTTAAGCTTAACCACAAGTTAACCAGATAATGAAAAAACCGGGCTAAATGAGTTTCGTGTAACCGTCGGGTTAACTTAACCGAGATTGGTGAAAGAGATCCTAAATTCGTTCTTTTTAGCTGACTTCTGCCACGGTTCACCTCTTTTCTCTTTTTCTCCAAAGAATTTAGAGAGTATTTAAATAATTTTTATCTTTTATATATATATATATATATACACGCTGATTACTTTGTCTTGTAATACAAACTCAAATAATAATATTCGTGCGTTTAATCTAAATATAGGAAAACCACGAAATCCTGAATACACTTTATTTGGCAAAATATGCAATGGATATCCTACTCTCTAAAACTTTTAGAGCGAATTTTATTCTGAAGAGTGAAATCTCTTAAAGACTGGAAATCGAGCCACTCTTTTTCAAGACTGGCTCAATTTTCACTCTTCAGAGTGAGATTCTATTTCGAAGAAATTTAGAGGCTATCGTCAAGATAATCTACTTTTACATTAAGTTCTTTCTTTTTGGCTGAACTTTTTGCACAGTTCTTTTCTCTTTTTCTCTCCAGAGAAGTTCAGTTAAAAAGAATAGACCTATTCTCGAGAGATTAGATCAGTGCACAACGACTTTAATATTCACTAGTGTACACTAGTGCATGCAACCGAATTCGCTATTACTCGGCACGAACGAAGTCGCATAGTATCGTGTCGCGACAGTTTCGCACGAACGTTTCCATTCTCGAGGGCCCCCCCTCAGATCAAACGAAACGGTCTTTCTCTCGACTTCCACCGACACGACGGAGGTGTCGTCTGATCTTACGTGTCTGGAATTTTTGTTCTCGGAATGTTTACAACTTTTTATATGCACCTCTCAAATATGCAGCCCTTTATTGTTAGTCCGGATCTACAATAGGTGTTTTAAGTCTTAAGTCGTAAGAAACTGACTAGTTACAGCCGAATCCAAGGAAAATAATCGATTATCCATTTCTTATGACCTAAGGCTTAAAAATTTGTTAAAAATGCGGACTTACCCATATAGCACAAAAGCTTACAGAAACCCAGTAATGTTTTTATAAACGTAGATTAAACTTTTTCTTATATCCATTTCTACCACAAGTAGTTTATTTTTAATGTTGGTTCAACTAACTGTTTTTTTTTTCTAGTTCTAGAAAGAGGTAAAGAATAAGTAGAATCGAAATTAAAGTTAATCTACATTGATGGAAACGGAATAAAAGAACAGGTCTATTGCTACAATGTTGTAATATTTCTACAATATTATTCTACAAATGTTGCTACAATTTTGTTGGAATGTGTGTGATATGTGCTGTATGATTAAGATATCTGACTCTTCCCACATTAACTCGAATATATGCTTAAAATCAAGTATAATGAAGTATAATCACCAAGGAATAGTAATATTATGTCGTAGAAGTAGAAGAAAAAGCTTCTCAAGATCGCACTCGTATATCTTAATCGTTTTTACAAAAACGTTAGCATTTTTAGTTGTCATTAACGATAGTTCGAAGATTGTCCAAAGATACGTTATTATAAATGATACGTCCAGAAATACGTTATTACAATCTCTCAATGAAATTTATATGTATCGGTACGCAAGAAGTACGATCTACCACGCGGTGTTAAATGTAAATGTATGTAGCCAGCGGAGTAGACAGAATAAAAAAGACAAGACGGTAGACGACGACGCTGTAGAGACTTGTGCGAGACGGTGTGTTCCCATACGTCTAACGATCATTTCTTTTTCTTCGACCTTTCTTACTCCTTGGATATTCGCGATATAACGCGTCATCGTCGCGTTTTACCGAGTTTCACTAAACTGTTCTGACATTCTTTAAAAAATATCCATAAAATAATAATTGCATGAGATTGTGTTTGTTCATCGCGATGGCATGACTTATCATGCTTATCAGAATCCGTATTTTTTTTATACATTATCGTTAAGTATGAGTCGTACCTAAGAGTTATATATAAATTTATAAGAGTTATACATTACTTTGATATTTTTGCTCTTTTTACTTATATTACTTAAGTAATATTATTTTTGTGTCAATATGTATATAATATGTAAGAAAATATCAATAATTTAAGAGAACATACGTGACACAAAAAGTTTAAAGCGATTCTTTTTTAATTTTCTCAAGATTATTTATCAATGTGAATCTTGATGAAGCGATATATGCAATTCGTTTGTACACTTCATCGGTTTATTTATCTATTTTGTGCATTAATGATTTTTAAAAATAAAATTAACTTTTAATTAAAAAAAATTAAATATACCTATATTTAATTAAAGAATTAGGAATTTGATAGAAAAGTCTAAAAAGAAATATTCAGATCAGTATAAATCGGTGAGTGCAGATGTCGGTAGCAATAAAGTATTCACGATGCCTAATTTTTATATATATACGGAAAAATTGGAATCTTAAATGTGATATATACATCACTTAGCGTAATATTAGTTTTATTTAATTTCTGCTAAGGTTTTTTTTAGCCAAAAATAATTCAATACGAAATTCCAACAATCAATGAATAATATTATTTAGGCTGGGTTGTTCTTTCGTTAAACTTCAGCTCAATATCTTATTCTCTTACTCTTTTATACTCTTATTCTTTTACTCTTTTGTTTATTTAATAAATAAATTACTACAGTAGCTTATCTGAAGGTGAAACACCCGGCCCTTCCTTAGTACAGTAAATTAAAAATAACGCATATATTCCAAAAGATAAAAAACTATGACATGTAAGATTGATATTTAAAAACATTAAAAAACAAATATATTATATAGGTCAGAGATGGGCATGTATTTGAAATACTTTTATTTGAAAAACGGTATTGGTAAGACAATTATATTTTGTATTTTGTGTTTGTTCAGAGTACATGAAAATATTTAGTATTTTATATTTCATGGGAACATATAAAAGTATTTTGTATTTTATATTTTAGTATTAATAACAAAAGATTATGAAAGTATTTTGTATTTTGTATTTTAAATACTAATATTGATAATCAACCTTATTATTTAAATTACAAGATACAAAACGCTTTCAATCTTTCGATTTTAAATACAAAATACGTAATATTTTTATGTGATGCGCTAAAATAAAAAATACAAAATATGCTTGTATTGCAATTAGTGTGTTTTAAATAAAAGTATTAAATACATGCCCAACTCTGTTATAGGTGTACAAATTAATTCTAGGCCTTTTTCAAAATTCAATGTTTATTTTAAAAAAATACTGTTATATTTTAGTCTGGAAAATAATTTCCCTCTGCATCTATACATTTTTGCCACTTATCAGGAAATTGGCGGATATCTTCGCGGAAAAAAGACGGCGGTTTCAATTCAATGAAGTCATCGGTACATTTTTCCACATCTTCTGCTTGGAAGTGAGAATCCGCTAGATGATGCTATAGCGATTGGAATAAATAATCCGACAGGGCTAGATCAGAAGAATATGCCGCATGCGGCAATATTTCCCAACCCAACGCACAGATAAATTTCTTCATCGCTTTCGCTACATGTCGCGTTGTCGTGCAGCAGCATCACTTGCCGTGGCCGGTGTACAGTCTTTCTTGCTCAAATGCATCAGTTGGTCTTGATAACGTTGAGCAGTTATTGTTTCATCCGGTTTTAATAGCTCGTAGTATACACCTTTGTAATCCCATCAAATACACAATACAATTTTGTTAATAGCTCATAGTATATACTTTTATAATCCCATCAAATACACAATACAATTTTTTTTGTATGAGTACTGGGTAATTGCAACCTCTTTCGAGGATTCGCCAGGTCGAACTAATGATTTTCTTCTTTTTCAATTGTCATACAACACCTATTTTCGTCGTCAATCATTAGTTTATAAAGGAAATATTTTCTTTTAAAACGCAAAAGCAATGATCCAGCCGTATCACAGCGTCTCTCTTTAGTGTCTGCACTAAGCATATGCGGAACCCAACGACACGCTTTCTGGATCAGTCCTAGCTTTTATAACCGTACCAAGAAATAGTTTGCTACGTCACTTCAAGAGCTTGTGCGAGTCCTAATTGATTTGACATGAATTTTCATTCAATAGATTCTCTGATTCATTGGTTTTCAAATTTTTTCGGCTGTTCAGAACGAACTTTATCCGACAAATAGAAATTTCTTTTGCGAAATTGTGTAAAACATATGAAACCGCATCTTTT